CCGCCGGCAGCTCTGGGTCGGCAGCAGCTCGGGGGACGCTCGGGGCCTGGTGGCCCCGACTGGGCACACCCGGAGCCCCTTCCCTCTCCCTGTCTTGGGGAGCCCTGTGCCCCAGGGGCTGTGGCTCTGTTCGCACCATATTTCCAGCTCCGGTCCGAGCCTGTACCTGGCTCCTTTGTGCTTGGCGACTTCGATACCTGCAGCACAGGGAGGAGAGGGCGTCGCACACCTCCGTCAGAGCAGCGGCCTCGGCGGCAACAGACCAAGCGCTGAAGACCGCGACCTGCTCGGCTCTGCGGGAGCGAAGGGCGAGAGGCGGCGGCTCCCTGGGCCCCTCAGGGGCCGCGTCGGCACAGGGACAAGGAGCCCCACTGGTCATCAGCCAGCGGGAGAGGCAGGCCGCAGGGAGGGGAGGGGGCAGCGGGGCCCAGGGCCAGGCACAGCGGCAGAGACCAGGTGGGCGCTGGACACCAGCCCCCCGTGTGCACGGACGCAGCGGCTCTGAGCACCGCTGAGCGAGGCAGGCTGGCCATCAGTGAGCCGCAGCACGCGGAGGGAGGCCTGGCCCGGCTGCCCACACGCCTCCGCGCGGGCTCGCTCGAGTAGGTCTGCCGCTATTGCTCTTGAAAACCCTCCAGCAGGAACGTGCCCAGCGCAACAGCCTGGGGCGACCCCGCCGGGCAGCGCTTCTCTGGCCAGGTGGCGCAGCGCCAGCGTCTGCGTCTGCGCTCAGGGCTGGGAGGGTGCCAGCGGTGACTGCAGGGCCGGCCCGGCGCCCGCCTGGGAGCAGGCTCCCCACCACCTCCTCCAGGCTGCTTCTCCTGACGCCCACCCCCCAGGAAGGTGCCCAGGAAGGTGCCCGGCAGCAGACGCTTGTGGATCCTTCTTCCAACATCCTGGCCAGTGGCTGGCACCCTCTTCCCTGGACACCACCCAGGACGGGTGGCTCAGGTCTAGCTAACTATGCCAGGCAGGACACACTGGGGACAGGTGCGTCCCTCCTCCCACCCCCGCCCTCCTCCAGCGGGGCACAGCACTGACCAGTGTGGCCACGGCTGCCACCCTGCCTGGCCCACGTGGGGAGAGGCCGGGAGGCACGGGCTGTGTGCCACCAGCCAGCCGGCTGTGTGAGTGGACCTTGGCCGTTCCTCCCTGGGCACCCCGGGGCCCGGCGCCGGCCGGACCCCGTCCGACCCGCAGACTCACTCTTTAAAATCCTTTGCAGGTTGCCCTCGAAGTCCAGGGCCCACTGGTTGAGCGCACAGGTGGCCAAGGTCACCTTGTGCCCCATGCTGCCCACCGCCGCCAGGGGACAAGGTCGCCCCGCACTTTTGTCCCAGTGAGACAGACAGTCGGGGTACGGACCCTTCCGGGTGGCCGTGCCCTGTCCCCCAGCACCCGCGCGGACTGGACCACAGGGCCCCGCCCCACCGCCCCGCCCCTATTGGTCTTTCCGGGTGCGCATTGGGCCGCAAGCCGGGCGCCAGGCCCCGCCCCCTATAGCCCCGCCCCTCCCAGTCCTGCCGGTAAGGATTGGACCGCCAGGCCTTGACGTCATGTCCCGCCCCCATCGCCGGGGAGCTCGTGGCCGCGCCTGCGCAGGAGGGGCCCGGCGAGCTGAGCGTCCCCGCCCGGGGCGGCGCCTTCGCCGGCTGCGCAGCCTCGCGGGCGCTGGCCCCGGCGGGTGGGAGGTCTCCGTCGCCCACTGCCACCTCCTCGGGGCGCTGTGTGCCCGCAGCTCCGTGCGCCGTCGCGGGCGTCGCCCACCACCAGCATCGGGGCCTGAGCCGCCGCCCTGCCCCACACCTTGGCGGCCCTGGCGGCCCTGCGCCTCGGGTTCTGCACCAGTCGCACCTTCGTGTCCCGGTGGGGTAGGAATACACCCTCTTGCCCGTGAAGAAGCGCGGGCTCGCCGCCTCTGAACGCCCAGCCCCCTCGTGCCTGGCGTTGCTGCCTCTGGCCTACAGTGCCTGTCTGCCTGCTTTACACCCCTTTCCCTGTGCGTAACGTTTGCGATCGGAAAGGCCACTAGGAAGCCCCAGGGAAGCACCAGAGTGTTCAGATGCTAATCTGCGCGATGCCTGCTTCCTCCCTGTGGGGCATACTCATTCTCCAACCTGTGTGCGGTCGAGACAGCCCAGACTGGCTCAGGCGGCACTGAGGGGTGCCCAAGTCTGGGTCAACAGGAGCGTCCAAAAGATAAGGACCTAAAGGAAAGTGGTGCCGCGGCGGAAGCAGGATTCCGTGGGTCCAGCCCACTGGGCTCCAGTTCCAAAAAGATAAAAAGAAAAGGAGAATGGGAAACTCATTCGAGAAGAATGCCCGCTGACAGGTGTCCAAAGGGTGATGAAACAGAGTCACCCCATGCACCAAGAGCAGGTGATTCAGGCCAGAGTCATCAGCAAGCGCTGGATGACAGGACCAAGGGTCATTTAGAAACACAGGTTTGCGGGCTCAAAGTGTCACCCCACCCAGTTTATTAATCACCCAGGGAGAAAGGGGCTGGCAGAAACCCTCACAAGTGCCATCGACAGCAGGGCCGAGTGCCGTCACTGCCTTGACGTGGGAGTGAAACCGCAGCACCCAGGCGGTGTTCCCACCCCCACCTACCAGCTCAGCACCGGAGAGGAAGACACACAACTGGGCGGGCGGCCGAGGGCGGCCGCGACTGTCACTCCTCAAAGCAGCCCTGCCTTGAGGGACCAGAATTGACAGGCTGGCAGCCCTAGGTGGAGGGCGCCAGTGCATACCAGCTGGCGTGCCCTGTGGCTGAGATGGGGTCTGGGTCTGTAAGAGGGAAGATAAAGGACATTATGGAGACGACGCAGGGTGGTGGGGAGAGCCTGAGTCTGCACAGTATCTTCAGTCATAGCATCGAAATGATGCAGTTTCCAGAATGCGCTCAGTTTATTTTGGGGACGTGAGACAGTCCTTTTTAGGAGGTGGACATTGTGGTCTTTGGGTGGAAGCGGCCACCTGCAGCTTAGCAAGGACACGGAAGTGCTGAGCAGATCCCCACACTGGTGCGACCCACCCCCCCAGAAGTGGAGAGTGGGTGGGCAGACACTTTCAAGTGGACACCCCTCCAGGGGCTGCTGGGTGGTGCCAGGGTGCCCCATACAGGCAGGAGCCAAAACATGGTCCCTTCTGCTCCTGGTGGCTCTGGGGGCACTCAGCGGGGACCCTCAACAGGCTGACCTCAGTGGACGTGTGCACACCCCCCTCTCTGGCCCTGCAGCTTCCTCTTTCCTGTCTCTCTGCACACCTGGTCTCCAGGTCACTTCCTGAGCCCCTGACCGTGATGTCCTCCTAGCTGAGAGCCCCCCCACCACACCCTTAAAAAAAACTGCTGGCCACACAACCCCCACCGGGGCTTCTGCGCCTGGGCACCAGCTTCCTCA